ATGCCATGTAGATTACCCATTTAGATTCAACTATGATTTTAATATTCAGGGAGAGGTGGTGACTGCCAGCAAGTCGGTCAAGATTCTGAACCATGCCATGTAGATTACCCATTGAGAAGTGTTTCAATTTCAAAACAAAAAAATTGGCTGCGTAATATGCCACTTTTCTCCTCAAATACCCACTTTTTAGCTTTTGTTGACATAACATTGAACCACTCAGTTTTTTAGCATTGAACCACTCAGTTTTATAAGAAATGTATGTTTTTCACTAACCTTATACGACTTCCTAATGTCACTCGTATCATTCCACAGTACTCGAGGGTTCATGACCTGTCATGATAAATATTCATTCCATTATGATATGCTAAATTAACAATATTTTTTAGACGTAATCTTCTCTAATAGCCTATATTCTGTTTTTTGTGGTATAGGGTAGAAAATACGAGCTTGTGGCTACCATTACTCACCATGGACGAGATCCATGGAAAGGCCATTACACTGCTGATGCACGGCACCCAAGTGGCAAATGGGTACGTTATGATGACTCATCAGTCGCACAAATAACTGAAAGCAAGGTGCTTCATGACCATGCATATCTCCTTTTCTACAAACAAGTTTAGTCTAAAGCAAAAATGCATTTTACGTCACAAATTCTTTGTACATTGTGTAAGGCTGTTTAGATTCATAATCTGAGTATAGAATCGACTCATCGAGCATTATCCGACTCGTGGAGGAAAAAAAAGAAAAAAAAAAAANTATATACTGAAATAGCATTACCTGTGTAGGAAAATGTTGGAATTTGGAGATTATTAGGTGAAAATGGCTGGAGAATATGTAGCAGTTGTATTTGAGTCTCTGTAAGTGCCTAAACAGAAAAGTGTTTAGAAGAATTTCAAGGCTCCAAAGTTCCTCACTAAACGAACCATCCGCGAATAAATTATTTGATTTTAAAGTTTCTGGCCAGTGTTTCTTAGTAAATTTGAAACGAGAATAGGGTACTCAGTTTTCATTCACATCTTCACCTTTAAGCGACTGAAGGGTTTGAATATTTTTTTTTTTTTTTTTT